CTTTGAATAACGTCTTTCGGCCTCAGTTATTGTCTTGCTAACATAGAACACTGGATATTGCTTCCCTTCTGCGTGGCGGATCAGAACACCACTTGTCGCGATGCTGGATACTCCGAGATATAAAAACAGCTTTTCGCCCGATTCTGGAGCTGACAGTACCGGAAGGTTCTGCATATACTTTTTCAGAGCAGTTAACGCTAGGCACTGTTCATCCCCCTAAACTTGCCTGTCGTGGCTTCGTATTGTGTCAAAAAATGGTTTGCATCGATCTGACAATTTGGAAATGAACCGGCTCAGTGCAGCAATCCGTCCCTTAAGTGTTTGCACTTCTTTGACTGTCGTCGGCTCGGCATTCTTAGTCAGAGCATCTGCTTGGGCAGGGCTTGCCTCGATGCCTCTGAGATTAACCATGTGCCCCAGGAATTGGCCTGAACTTACACCGAATGAGCACTTAGTTGGATTGAGCTTCATTCCATATTGCCTCAACACATCAAACACTTCTCGCAGATGTTTCACATGATCAGCTTTCTTCTTACTTTTTACCACCATGTCATCAATGTAAGCTTCCACTGTCTTCCCTATTTGTTCCTTAAAAATTCTGCTAATAAGTCTTTGGTAAGTTGCTCCGGCGTTCTTTAGTCCGAATGGCATGACTTTGTAGCAATACGTCCCGCGTTCGGTAACGTAAGAAGTTTTTTCTTCATCAGCGGGGTCCATGGGGATCTGATTATAACCTGAATAAGCATCTAAAAAGGTCAAACGTTCATATCCAGTAGTTGCATCCACCATCTGATCAATCTTTGGCAGCGGGAAGCTATCCTTCAGACAGGCTTTGTTTAAATTGGTGAAATCAATGCATACGCGCCATTTCCCATTTTTATTCTGCACAACGACAACATTTGATAACCAGTCAGGGTAGTACACTTCTCTTACAAACCCCGCATCAAGTAGCTTGTCAACCTCCTCGGCAATGATTCGGTTGCGCTTGGGAACAAACCATCGCTGCTTCTGCTTTACAGGTTTTGCGCTGGGATTAACGTTCAAGGAGTGACAAGATACAGAAGGATCGATCCCTGGCATGTCTAGGTGACTCCATGCAAACACATTTGCGTTTTGAGACAAAAAAATCAACTAATTCCTGCTTTTCCTCCTTAACGAGTCGTTCCCCCACTCTGGTTGTTCATTCCGGTCGGAACTGATCGATTTGCACATCAAACAGGGGTTCTTCAGTCAAGTCCACTGGCTCCTCCTCCCCATTCTTCTTGGAGGGAGGCTCCTGTAATTGCTATCTCGGACTTGCCGAACGAATGGGAGCTTTCCCCTTTCCAGCATATTTCAGTGTTACCGAATAACATTCTTTAGCTGCAACCTGGTCTCCATGAATGTCAATCACTTTGGTCCCGTCTGGCCCCAGGCATCTCATTACCTAATGCAGAGTGGAAGGAACACCTTGAACTCTGTGGATTCACCCTCTGCCCATCAGAAGATTATAAGAGGGATGAATTTCAACAACCACAAAGGTTTCCATCAAAATCCTCTCGGCAGCATGTACTGTTACCTCCACCGTACCGACGGGCTCCACTCGTTTTCCATCAAACCCTAGTAGTGGATTCCCGGTGGATTTCAGCTGATCCTGTTTGATCTCGAGCCGATCGAATGTATCCCTTAGCATGATGTTCGCACTACTTCTAGGGTCAATTAGAACTTTGCGCACCAAGCATTTGGCTACTGTCAGACTTACGACCAACGGGTCCTCATGAGGGATCTGAACCGCAATAGGTCTGTTACGTCAAACTTTATCTACGTTGATGCGCTCTGTTGGTACAGAGTGTTTACACTGCCTATCCTTCTCTTCATCTGTGCCTGGCGAGGGCGTGTTTAAAGCAGTTCATCTGACTCTTCAGCAGGTTCTGGCCGACCGTGAATTATATTAATTATTCCAACTGGTTGCGTGTTGTGAGAATTCGACTTCTGATTCTTCTTCACGTGCTCCATTGGTCGGTTCTGTTCCACCGCTGGGCCTTGAATATAACTTGCGAACTCCCCTCTGGCTATCAGCATCTCTACCTGTCTCCTTAGGTTCCTGCATTCGTTAGTCTGGTGGCCAAAGTCAGAATGAAATGCACAGTGCTTAGACTGATCCCTCTGTTCGAGAGGTTGTCTGATTGGTAAAGGAGGTCGGAACTTATCTTTATTTTCTTGGTACAGTCTTGCTAAGGCAACTTTCAATGGAGTAACCAGCTCTTCCTCTCTGGGCCTCTTCTCAGATTTCCACGAGGAGCGCTGCGGCTGAACCTGCTTTTACCTGATCTTTGCTTTGGTCTTTTCTTCCGTGGATATGACGGATGTCTTCCAAGCGTTTGCCGCCTCTTCTTCTTCCAAGCGCACAAATCCATCGGCTCTTTCGTTAAGTTCATCCATAGTTTTAGGCATGTTCACCACCAAGCTTGTATGGAATGGGGTACCTCGGGTCATAGCCAGTATGAATGCTTGAACTGCCGTTAAAGGGTGACGTTCAATAACCATACTCTTAGTAAGGTTAAACCTGGTTAGGAAAGCCTGGAGACGTTCATCTGCATGTTGCTTCATTGTGAATAGGCTCGAAATATCTTTCACTAGACGCTTGTTTCCATAATATTGGCTTATGAACCGATCACACAAGCTTCGGAAACTATCCACTGAACCCCTCGGCATGTTTTTGAACCAATTCAGAGTTGGTCCAGCTAGACTCGTAAGAAAGCACTTGCACATCAAAGAGTCATTCTCAGTGTTTAGAGCCATTTTCAACTGGATGTGATGCACATGATCGATCGGATCGGTCGTTCCGTCGAACAAAATGAAAACGGGCATGGAAAATTTCCTCAGATTCAGAGCATTCAGAATCTCATCGGTGAACGGTGAATCAACCGTTCGAGCTGCTGAATGGAGTGCTTCATTTTCCCTCTGGAACCCCGCGGTTGCTCTCTGGTCTACAGACCTCCTCTCTGAGCCATGATAATCGAACGTCGTCATGGAAAGCCGATAGGTCGGATCGAATGACCTGTCATCAATAAAGTCTTTGCGCCATAGAGGCACAGCTTTATGACGATCCAACTCTGTTACTTCACCTCGGCTGAGCGTTTCTTGATGTGGATCAAAAGTCATTGCTTCGTTTCACCTGATCTGCTCACGTCGTGGATCCACGTGAGTTGATCCTTCAATCATCAATACGACGAAGATTTGGCAGCAAACCGTCTCGCCGGATTTCCTCACGGTGAGGATCAACCAGATTATTTTCGACCTCCTTACCGTGATGTGCTACATCGGTACGTGCACCTTCTTCTCCTACCGGGAGTGGTCACGGAATTACTGGAGCTTCTTGAAGCTACATTTCAGTCCTTAGATCCGCATTTTCTCTCCAGAGAGCTTCGATCATGCTCATCAACTCATCAAGTTTCACTTGTTGGACGTTCTCGACCGTATTGGAGTTCTCACCCCCTATCATGATTCCGGATCGAAGCAAAGGCATGAATTACGAACTCTGAAACAGATCTGAGCGTCACCGATGCAAACTCCGTTAGATCTGGGCTCAACTTCACCAAATCGTGATCACTGTTTGCTAGATCTGAACTTTTCTAGCTTTGAACTCACCGGATCTGACTGCAATTGAGCAAATCACAATTGTGTCATTCCGAAGCAAATGCCTCAGAATCCACAATAGCAAGAATCCTCTCTGAACAAACTACAATCTCACTGATCTGGATTCAACTTCCAGAAATCACACTGTGTACTCACAAACTTGATTGAACTATTATGGTACTGATCAGGCTCGAATCGATCTTCTTCTTCTTTCCCACAGACGGCGCCAATTGAAGATCCAAGAAATTCTTCCTCCTTTCTCTCTCTAGAATTCTTACATTTCAATAGAATCAAAAAATCCTCCTCTTATCCACCTGTAATGGTCTATAGACCATTACAATTATTATCGCTAACTGATTACATTGGGCCTATATTCAAGGGTTTTCTTCCTTTTGGGCCTAATTTTCCAATGGGCTTGATCTTCCTTAGTGGATCCTCCAGGTTCGGCCCATTCCGTGGTGCTTTTGCATGGGCCATACTTTAATTGTTCGACCCGATCCCATACCAGCAAGCTATATCCGGCCCATGCCACTTACTGCATCCTCATATTCCAATTCAGATTCCTTTTCCAAATCCTAAAATAACTGATTCCAAACAAAGCGTTTCACACATGGGTTTGATTTCTTCAACTATAGTATTGTTGGGATTTGTTTATATTTGATAGAGATTTATTTATTGACTTTCAAGAGACATAAAAGAAAGCAAACACTTGGGTCTTTTGCTGAGAAAATGGAAGAAAATAAAATAAAATATAATTTAATTTAATTTAATTTTGACTCATATATTTCCATAACTTTTAAACCTCAGTACAACTATGCCGTGGTCTAGGTGATTGGCTATTTAAATAGGAAAGCTGCCATGGATTATTGCCGAGGAATTGATGTTGTTTTTTCTTCTTTTTCCTTCCATAAAGGGATATTGTTTGGCATTTTAGAACATTTTGGAGCAATTTCAAACATCCAATTAACTAATTAAGTACTTGTTTCATGAGTTCCCTTAATTGGAAATGGGCTCTCTTGCAATAAGTTTTTGGCTCTGCTTGTGAATATGAAGAAAACAGAACTTAACAATGGCATGATAATTGCTTGAACAATTATATTTTTATTTTCTGGATTGCAGATAAGTGTCACAAAATGGCCCGAAAGAAAATAGTCGCAAAATAAAGATGGTTGGTAGTTCACCCATGGATGGAATCAGTGACCTTCCAAGCAATTTAATAGAAAGTATACTAATGTTGTTGCCATTGCGAGATGCTGCGAGGACAAGTGTTTTGTCAAGGAAATGGAGGGATAACTGGCTCAAACTCGCATAGCTTGTCTTTGATAATGCATTGATCCAAGATTCAATTGAAAAACCAAATTTCACTCCAAAGCAAACTTCTCATGACTATATTTCAAGTTTTATTATTTCATAATGGACCAATAGTGAAGTTCACGCTCTCTATTTCTGAATTTGAAAGCTGTTCTGAGATTTACCAGTTGATACTTTTCCTATTAAAGAATGGTATCAAGGAACTTACTCTTGATATATGTAAGGGCGACAGTTATAGGTTGCCTCCGTCACTCTTTTCATGTCAACGACTGAGACAATTGTATCTCAGTAATTGTATATTTGAGCCTCCTCCTAAATTCAATGGATTTAGTAGGATCGTAAGTCTAGAGTTTTGCTCAGTCAACTTTGCTGATGGTGTACTTGGAAGTTTGGTTTCTAGTTGCCCACTACTTGAACGGCTGACACTGGAAGGCTCCATCCAATTTGATTGCCTTGAAATTGATGCTCCTAATCTCAACTTCTTAAGCATAAGTGCCATATTCGGATCTATTCATTTCAAAAATGCCCCTCTTCTTGTAGTAGTTTCAGTTAATTCAGATGATTCTGACGAATTGGAACATCTCAATGAAGAAGAGGCACCCGAAATGATCCAGGTTTTTGGTTGTCTACCTGTAATTGAGACTTTGAAATTGGGCTTTCGTTTTATGAGGGTAAGGTAGCTACATTGCTTTTATTCATGCGTTTGTAAAGAAATTCACGTTTCTTAGGTCTGTTTTTGGCTTTTTTTAGTTGTTGACTGTGGCCGGTGTTCCTGAGAAGCTCCCGTTTACCTTGGACCACCTCAAATATCTTGAAGTAAATGAATTCAGTTTTGGAGAAATTAATGAGGTCTCCTTTGCTTTATGCTTGATTAAAAGCTCCCCCAACTTGAAAAAAATTCAGGTGAGCTATAACAGTTCATTGTTTCAAATGTTCTTGTATTGTATATATGGTATTTAATTGAAGTGTTTTCATCTTCTTTCTAGCTGTTTGCCTACGAAGAAGATGAAGATGATGATGATGATGATGATGATGATGATACAGGACCTATTTTAGAATTTTTGGAAAGGCAAGATACCTCTGATATCTCTTTGAATCAACTTGGGGAAGTGAAGATGCGAGTCATTTCTGGCACAAGGCCTAAATTGGAGTTCATTAAACTTATATTAGCAACATCCCCATTGCTAGAGACGATGCTTATAGATCCCAACTCAGCAAATGTTTTTGACAATGGAGTGGCGATACTGAAAGAGTCTCACCTAAAGCAGAAATTATCTACAATGATGCAGCTGAAACACCTGTTTGGCATATGGATCATCCATTTTGATCATTTTATGACTATGATAGGGGTGACATTCTGATACTAGAATTTTAGGATACTTTTGTTTTTGTTTTATTTTAGGTGTAATGTCACTGAAGGGAGTGACTGACGGCACTGATTTTGCTTCAACATGATTATACTTTTGGAAATGATACAATTAGTTCATGATGCCTTTTTCTTTCTGAAGATTCAATGTCACTGTTACAAGTTTTTTATAACAAGTCTGTATCACAAGGCCCTTATCACCGAGGGGTTCGCTCCCTCTTATCACAAGCAGTATAGTAGAGAATGTTAGCTCATGTCGGAGCTTTTTCCTGAAAGCTTTCTCCTTCTAAAACTTGTAAGTCGCCGAACTTTTGTTTTTCATACTTAAAGTCACTTTTGTTTTGAGTTTTTGCTTTTTTTTTTCACATTAGAGCACCATTCTAATAGCTGTTCGGCATACAATTAGTGACAATGATATGTGCCATTGTTAATCAATTTGAAGTTTTTCTTTTCAATAGAACAGGTCAGAGTCTGGAGTAGAAATTTTCGGGTTGAATCAGCTAGACCTTATCATTCTTGTTATGAAAAAAGAATCGAATATGAGTTTACGAGAACAAGAGAAAAATAAATGACAAGAAAAATAAAATTAATGTCACACACAAAAGAGACAAGTATTTACGTGGTTCGACAATGGGGAGAAGACAGAATAATATTTGACTATGAAAATAAAAAGATACAAGGCAAAGTGTCTCACATCCAAAACCCAAATACACCCACAAACTCTCACTCTCTAACTGATATTTCAAAATGCTCATTGATGATCTTGGATGATGAAACACCACGGAGAGCAAGCTATTTATAGCCAAGAATGGGTCACCAAAAAAAAAAAAACTACTTGCTGATTAAGTATATCAAAGACTGAAGCTGCTGACATTTCAATCTTGCTGACCACGCATATGCTTGCTTATCACACAAATTTGGTGGTCCCCAGCTGATGTAATTGGTGATGCAACCTCAAATTTGAGCCATATGCTCAACAAATCTCCACCTTAGCAAAAATTTTGTATGAGCTATTATATCTATGTCAAACAACCTTTCTTTTCCACAAAATAGATTAATTAAGGATTTTAGTTAAGTTTGAGTCATCCTCAAAGTTAACCCTCGGGCTCTCATTCTTCAACCCATGTATGCTTTGTGCAGCCACAAGCATACCTCCAGTATTTTTGTCAAACTTTAAGTGCTTTTCAAAAACACCCTCAGAAACTCTAAGTTTGACATCTCCTTCAGCAACCTTCAGCAACCACCCACAAACCACCGGCTAGTAATGAAAAGTCATCTTTTCACCTTTATGGAGAATATGACTGTAAGACCCCTAGTTTTAAAAGGGTTATAATTGGAATTTTAATATTCCTTTTATTGTTTTCATTATCTAGTTTATTTGTTTTTGGTATTTATGTGGTTAGACTTTTCTGAATTAAATTAAGTGTTGGGTGAATTTAAATGGTTATACATTAAATTGATTTGTTAGTTGTTTTATTTTTCCTTGGTTTAATTGGTAATTGTGATATTTAAATTAATTGGATTTTTATTTTATTATTTGAATTGTTGGACCTATTTGTAATTATTTGAATTATTTGCGTTAATGATATTATTATTTGACTGAATGGATTTATTGGTGATTATTGGTATTGGTTGCGTTAATTTCATTATTGGGTTTAAATTATTGTAATTAAGTTAAGTGAGTTTTTAGACGTCACCTAAGTGTAGCCGACATAGATTTTAAACGTGGGCTCTGTTTATGGGCCGACTAGTATTTAGATTAGGGCTCTGTTTTTAATCCTACAGGGAATAGGGTTTCAATTAAGTCTATATATATAAAGCAGTATGTCACCTTAGGGTTTTAGCAATCACAGACCTTATTTACGTTCAGAGTATTGAGAGAACAACAGAGAGGAACAGAGAGGGGTCGTGAGAAACAAACAGAGCTACTTTGGTGAGGGTTTGGCTGTGGCTTACAAGACGGACGTAGGAGAAGGGAAGATGGAGCAATAGGAGATTTAACAGTGAATGGCATCGCCGGAAAAACTTAGAACGACGGCAACAGAGTTTTGAATCCAAAACTGTAAAGGCAAGTTCTCTCCTTTCTCTCTCCCGTTGGCCTGTGTTCTGTGCATCCTAGATATCTCTAGGATTTTAATTGGATATTAAATGGATCTTACATGCTTTATATAGGTTAAATTAAGTAGTTATATGTGTTGAAATTAAACTAAAATTGTTCTGGAAAGTTTGGGTCAGTGGTTGATTTGTAAGCATGTTTAAATCGGTAATAGTTTATATGTTTCTTTTGAATGCAAACTGTTTTAAATAAATAACTGAAATGATGTAAGATGAAATTTAGACCCTAAGGTTCAGTTTTAATAAAGAACAGAGGAGGTGGAAGCGGCCGGAGACAGTGCAGAAGGCCGTAGAAGTGGCAGAAATGCAGACGGTTCTCAGAGAGGAAGAGAGCCGGCTCCATGGAAGAGGGAGTCGGCTCCCCCCAAGAGTGGAGCCACCTCTAGGGAAAGTGGAGCAGGCTCCACCCTTCTAGAGCCGGCTCCAATAAATATTGGAGCCTGCTCCATCATTTTTTGGAGCCTGCTCAACTAGTTTAAGAGCAGGCTCCCCTTTTATGCGTGAAATCTAATGGTTTGGGCATTATTTGGAACTTTAAATTGTCGCAAGGACTGAAATAAAATTTTTAAGAGTAATTTCAAGGGGTTTTAAACTCTCTAATTGGGAAATTTGATTTATAGAGCAATTAGAATAAACAGTGTAAAAATAAGCAACTTTGCACGCTGCAAACGAATAGGAAGGACTAATTTGCTAAATCTTGTTTTAAAAATTTAACGGATTGTAGTGTAGACTCCAAAAATTATAATGGGTTGTTTTAGAGCCTAATATGCATAATTAGTGTCCTTGTGCTCATGGATTTAACCGTAGAGAAGTATACAACGGTGTAGGCTGCTAACGGATGAAGGGGGTTTAATTGCCTAAATTAGTTTTAGCAATTTAACGGAATATGTATATATTTATAAATCTTGTTGGGGTGGCATGCTAGGATCATTTAATTAACAAGTTCGATCTAGGCATATCCTGGATGTTAATTGTTGAAATACTAAATACTTTTCTAGAATGCATGGACTTAAGCTTGTAATCTTAATTGCGGTAATATTAAGCATTTCACTGCAATTACTTGGATTAGAGTTTGGACTTAAATTGCTGAACCAGTACTTAGGTCTGTCAATCTAATTGGATGTTGGCCTGGAATTAATTGAAGAATTAAATATATATTTTCTGTCAATTTCATGGATGAATGCTAGAATTTAACTTGACGAATTAGTAAACTTTGTCTCGTTTGATTACATGGATGGATTCTGGATTTGTAGTTGATAACTTGTTTAAATTCTGTGTTTATCAACTATATGGATAATGTGGACTTTATTTGATGTACTGCTTATAATGTTGCATCATTTACGGATCATTTGCATATATGCACCGGTATGGGACGGTGGCATACGTAGGGATGGATTAGGTCACAACGCTAATTCCTACCCATTCATACATACGGAATGGATTAACTAAAAACAGTTAAATCCTACATGATTTCATGTCCTGTCAACTAAAACAGTTGAACAACATACTGGATGGTTGTTTATATTTCTGCGTTAGGATGAATAGGGTTTTAACTAAAATATTTAAATCCTAATTTTATGTCGTGTCATGGCAATGAATCAGTTGAGTGGCACTACATTGGTTTGGATGGGAATTTATATATATAAATTATAGTACCGCGATTTGAGCTTGTGTCTCATAGTCGACGGTTAGGGTGCGTATATGCAGTAGGATGCGTAGCTAGCTATGTTGGTTGAGGTATACCCTGTTAGGCTTAGGTAGTCATGCCCACTTAGGTGCGTATTGCATGTTACCTTCTATTCAGGTTGAGACCCTCAGCATAGTTAGTGAGACTCCTGTAGTGTGGATATATATTTATCTATTATGGACTATATAGATATGATTGAGATGTCTAGGATGTATCTGTTTGGATTGTAGTTAGGATAGAACTTGTTCGTGGGCCTGACCCACTATTATTTTTCAGGTAACGGACGGTTCCAGGTCTTAGAGCTTGTTCGTGCTGAGCAGAGACGTCTACTCATTCTACCGACGATGTAAGAGGTTCTTCATGATTTAGCAGTGGACTTCTTTTTAGTTGTTCGCTTTCTAGTATTGGCTTTTGATTAGGGGTCCACCAGATGGATTCTCGAGTTGTATTATAATTGGAAAAGTTGGTTGTAACAGACTAGTTCTTATTTATAAGATTTATTCTGAAGTTTTCAATAAAGGATTTTCATTTAGTTTCTTTCCAGTGAATTTTATTTACTCATGTTTATCTTAATTATATTCTGTGTTCGATTATTGCTAATTGGTTTGATATCCTCCGGTAATCGGGCGTGGGCCTGGCCAACCCGCATCCGGAAATCCGGGGGTATCACAATGACGTCCATGACTTTTTCTTGCATTTCTATTGTGACCAACTACTTGTCTCCCACACATCTTAATGGCACTTGAATGGACTATCTCATTGCCACTAAGATTATTGCAAGTTAATATATATCACACCTGTCCTCATAGGTCTGCCTCCTTGTAGGGACTGTTGCAATTTTAATTGCCATCTGAAAACGGATTTCATTCTTCCATCATGTTGTGTAGTTCCCTCAAAACCTTTTTGAGAACTAGGATCATCACTCCTCTTTCTAAGTCTTCCTTTGCCAAGACCTGAATGCAGATTTTTATGAATTGTAGAAAACCCTATAGAAGCTCCACCTGTTACTGTATTCCCTTAAAGAAGATACAAAATTTTCACCTTGGTGCCTTGCAACACCACAAGAGAATCTATCACGACCATCATTACTCCACCCTCTGTTACAACCTTGTAACCTTTGGAGTCTAGTACACCTATTGAAATAAGATTAATCTTCAGATCCGATACATATCGCACATCTGACAATGTTCTCACTAACCCATTGTGCGTCTTGATCTTGACTGTTTCAATTCCTAAAATTTTGAAAGTTTTCCAGTTCGCCG